TTTAAGAAAATTTTTAAAAAATTATTATAATAAATTTTTCAAAACTTAATTTTAAAATTGAATTATTTAAAAAACTTCTTAATAAACTTAAATTTCTTCTAATAAAGTTGATAAAATATATATAAAACTATCTTTTTATATAATAATTATATTATTAATATTAATTTTTTATTTTTTATTAAAAAATTAATACTTTTTTTTTATGTTTGCAGGTAAATTTGTCTACTTTTAGTTAAGAAATAATCTAGATTTTCTAGATTATTAACAATTTTTTTTAATCATAGTATTATATAACAATTTAGTATTACTTATCTTAAATGATATTTTAATGGTATTGATTTTGATGTTAAATTAGAATAATAAAATCAAATAGTTTTTGTAAAATTTTAGTTAAAAATTATGTAAATTTAAAAAAAAATATTAATTATTCAGAAAATTTTTATATAGAATAACTAGTGGTAAAACCAAATATAAATCAAAGATAAATCAGTGATAATTATTTGAATATGGATTCTTTGCAATAAAAAGGAAGGAAACTACTAAAAAAAATTTTTTTGAGTTAATATTAAATCTAAACTTATTTTATTAAAAAATAATATTTAATTTATAAAGCAAAAAAAAATTTTTTTTTGGTAGTTTTCTTCTTTTCTATTGCAAGGAGCCTATATTATTATTAAAAATTATATTTTTTTCTAATATGAAAAATCGAAATTATTAGATAATTTTATAAATTAAATTATATATAAAATTAGAATTATAATTGCAATTCATAATTATTAGATAATTTTGACTAAATAGAATTACTTATTATACAAAATGTTTTAAATTTTTGACATATATCAATATAATTTTATATAAATTTATAAAGTATCTTTTTCTTTTTTTTTTAATTATTAAAAAATTAAATTTAATAATTTTTCAAATTTTTTACTTATTAAAATATTAAATATAATTGATTAGGATAATAATAAAGTTTAATTTTTAATCAAAGAAAGGATAAGCAAAAATGAAGAATATTGGTTTAATCTTAGGAAATCAAAGTTATCTTTTTAAAAAGGAGTTATAAAAAAGATAAAAAAAGAATTTAATATGAATGTTATGGTAATGTAGTATTAAGTAAGTTTAAAGAAATAGTTAAAAATTATAAAGTAAGTAAAATTCTAATTAAAAAAGTATATAATATAATTATATCAATAAATATTATAAATAATCAATATTTATAGTTATTTAAATTTTATGAGAAAGGAAATTCAAAAGAAAAGTAAAGTAAAGTTAGCAAAAAATATGAAAATCAATTTAAAATTCCATTTTAAACAAATTCTGATAAGTATTTAAAATAAATTCTGTTTAATATTTATATTAAAATTTAGTTAAATTCAAACTTTTATTTTTTAGCTTTTTAAATAGAATTAAGAAGGCAATCTGAATTAAAATAATATAAGATTTGTTATTTAAGTTTCAAATATTTTAAACTTATTTTAACCTAAATTTTAATATTACTTTACTAAAAAATTTAAATACTTTTTGCTCTTTCAATCCTCTTTCTCCATAAAGATCTACTTTACCATAAAGATTTGTCTCATCCTTATTACTATCTAATACTGAAATACTATTATAAACTAAAAACCTTTTGTATAATTTATTTCAACTATTACATTTTTTATTATACTCTTTAACTATTATCATTCCTTTTTCTTTTTCATTTTCTTTTTAATTTTACATTCAGTTTTTTTTATAATTTTTTTTTTGATTTTTTGCTAAAAAAAAAATTTTTTTTTCTAAATAAAACTTATTACATCTACATAGTATTTAGGATTAACAGTTATAGGCTAATTTATATCTGACTAAGAGTAGCATACTTTAACATTTATAAATTTATAAGTATATGTAAAATGAAAGAAAAAATTATACAATTTTTAGTTATTAATCTAACCTAAAATTAACAATATTAGTAAGTATTATTAACATATATTTAATAAAAATGTATTGGAAAAACTTTAAAATATCATAAAGTTTTTTGATATTCTTTTCTTTATGCTAAATTTTTTATGTAACTATATGATTATAAATAATATTTTTAATATAAGATTTTTGAAATAAAGGTAATAGTGATTATAGGTAGAATGTGATTATAAATAATAGGATTTATATAATAAAATTCAGAATATCTAACTAGAAAACTATATAGAATAATGTGATTATAACAAGAGTTAACAGTAACAAAAAAAAGATTTATTTTATCATACAAAAAATTAAAAATTATTTATATATTTTTTTTAAATAAAAGAAAGTATTAATGATTATATATTTTTAAAAAAAAAATTACTTTCTTTAGACTTATAATAGTCTTGTTTTCTAGTGTAATATTTAAATTTTAATAGAAATTCTATTCATTAAACTATTTATTAAAAGCTTTTTAATGAATAAATATGATTTTATTAAATTAATAGCTAATAAAATATTACAAAATATTAAATAATTTTAAAGTTGTTATCAAAAGAGAATGCAATTTCTTAAATTATAGCTTAATAATAAACTTAATAATAATATAATAATAAATGTCATATTTAACTTTATTATAATTTATAGTTTTTACTTTATTTTTAACTAATAATAAAAGTAAATCAATATTTATATCAAACTTTATTCTTACAAATTATTATTACTTTTTTTCTATTAGTAATAATCCTATTAATATAAACAGAATGATTAATATAAATTGATAATCTTTAGAAATTTTAAACCTTATTAATATATATATTAAAAGTCTATTAAAGTCTATTTTTTATTCAGTAAGTATTGCATTTAACTTGTATAACCATTGAAAAAATTTTTTTAATAAATATTTTAAATTAAATACTTAAAAATACTATTTAATTAATTTAATTAATTCCATTTTAATTTTTTTTTTAAAATTAAAATCATTAAGTTTATATAAATAAATATAAATTGTCATAGATATATAAGTTCCATTTATTTAATAGAGTAAAAGTTTATTCTTTTCATTTTCAAAAAATTATTTTCGTTTCGTTTTCTTTTCGATTTATTTATTTAAATTTTTTAAAAAATTGGCACTAATATATACAATTATACCGCTTCTTGTATTACCGATAATTTATCGTTTTGTGTCACGAAAGAATTTCAAGCATGATATGTGCTAACGCTTATGTTTCCCTGTTTTATGTATCTTAACTATCTGCTAGATTTCAAAAGGTGGAATAAACACAGCAGTAGAGAGGGAATTTCAATAAAACTATTCAATAATATGATCAAGGGTGTCGAATTTCGGAAGACGAAATGAGTAAGCTCATTGAACTTGTTTGTTATTACTTAACTTTGATAATTTTAATGTTTGAAAGATTAATTCTCATACGTAACCATATGGGACCTATGCAATAGAAACTGCCGGGAAAAATCAAAAAAAAATGAGTTAACGCTAAATTCTGAATTTCCTGGCAGATTCTCCCCTTTCTATTGCAAAGGTATCATATGCTCTTATTAATTAGACGCGTGATAGGAACATCAAATGACATTATTTACCTTTAAAATTTGAGATAAATGATCTCAAAAAGAGGCTTTGCTTTGCTGCTTTAAAAATGGATTAAAAAGCATCACATGTAACTTGAAATAAAAAACTCTATTTTGAATTTATAATTTGTGATTTGTTACTTTCAATTATTTTTTATAGAATTTATTAAAAAATTCGAAATTAATTGATCCAACGAAATAACTTTACTAAATTTGTACCTTGAAATGTCTGTCATGCCCCAAATACGCAATTAATAAATTTTAAAAAATATCTATATTATTAAAAAGTTAAAAAAGCTAGAATTTTTTGATTAGAAACTTTTTGAATAATCTAAAATAAAATCATAAAGCTCATAATTATTATTATTATTATTATTATTATTATATATATTTTAAAAAAAAACAGGCGTTAATTAAATAAAATGAATTGTTCACTTTCAATTTTTCAATATCCAATCTTTTTTTTTTATTTCTCCTACGTTCTTTGGTGGTGATTATTGCTAATAAGTCTAGCTTGAAGATCTCTAGTGATTTCTACGGTGTCTTGTAATTTATAATCAAAAATTTCTTGTAAAAATCTTTGAACTTTACGCTGCATTTTAACAACCCAATCTTGCCTTTCTTCTTCATTTCCCAATCCTTTATATTCTTCATACGCTTTTTGTATATCCTTAGTCCAAAAGTACTGAATTGGTTGTCCTCTTCTAAGCCGACGTCTAATCCATGGGACACATGTATAAATTACTTGAGGTACATTAATTTTAGTGTTAACATGACTAAAAAAAAAACCAAAATAAAAAAGATTAAATTAATTGATGATATAGAAAATTCTCTTGTAATGAAAGAGACTTTAAATTACCTGACTGCACATTTATCAAAACAATCTTTACAACAATTAACTCTAAATTCCCAACACCTATCATGAAATTTTTCCAATAAACGATCTTTACAAATAAAACATTTATCACTTAATAAAGTAAACCAAATATATTTTTGTTCTGGCCAATCTTCGTTCCAACCATTTGGTGGTGGTAAATTTGGATATGTTAAACATCTTTGCCTTGATGTTTTCCAAATATTTTGACATTTTATCGAGTGAGTTAACCATAAAATTTTTCTATACCTTTTGCATACCGTTGATAATGAGTATAAATCTTTTGGTGAAACGTATTTACATATTTCATGAAATATTTCCAATAAAATATTTTCCATTTTATTCTTTTTATTGTAAAAGTTTGTTATCGGATAATTTATCATTATTTTTTTTTTTTTACTTCCTCTTCGTGCTCTCCTTATTTCGTGTGTAACGGTTTTGTCATGAGAAAAGGTTTACATATCTGCAAGAATCAACTTTTTATAGTTGAAAGGATGTTGCACAGATTCATTTAATAATTCTAGCCGAAATTAAGTTAATTATAAAGTTGGCCGACTTTACCACGTGTTTATACTGCGCGTATTACAAATAGAAATCAAGGAATGCATTGTAATATTTTTTTTTTTTTTTTGTTTTTTTGGTAGAATTCTTGAATCCACAAATAACCAATAAAGAATGACGAGAATAAAATAAATATTTTAACCGGAGAGTTTTTCAAATCTATAACGATTATTTAATATATATATATATATATATAGAATTTTCTTTGAAAATTTCCTTATACGGAAGGTATTCTTTTATTAAAACGATGGTGCCTAGTTATATATAGACTTGAAGAAATAATCTATCCTTGTATTTTTACAATTTCTTTGTAAAATATAAATACGATTTTAGTGTTCACTATTACAATATACAATGATGATTTGCGACGCGCTTCTTGGAGGGGAAAAAACTTTTTCCAGAAAAGGTATAGTAAATAATTAACATATTGATTCATATCTCTAAGATATAATCACAAAAACAGTTTCGCCCGAAACGTAGGAGTCTAAACCAAATCTTTTTTATTTTTTTACTCCGACACAATATGTATTAATCAACAGTAAGTTTATATTAAAGGGAACAAAACTTGTACGTTAGCGTAAGCCACTGTTTAAATCAAACAGGATAATTCATAGTAATGATAAAGAATTTCGAGGCTTAAGAAAAGAGGAATCGTTTAAAAGGATAAGTTTTCATTTATAATTATAACATGAATCGTGTTATTGATGTTATTTTTGTGGCAGAGTATAATTTGTTAATGTATTAACCCTCATCAATAGAACTGAACTTTTCTAATCTAATTTGGTAAATTTCCATTTTACCAAGCAATTTTGTGGCTTTTTCTTTTTGTATATAAACAGGAAATTCATTGACAACCTTTTATATATATATACTAAGACAAAAATGGTTTATCACCAGTTTGATTTATTTATAAAAAAAAATAAAGGAGTTACCCGTTTTATTTTAATAAAATTTCTGAAACAAACAATTCCTCTACTAAGCCTCATATGTTTTGACGCTAACTAATTCACCATACAAAATATGTATCCAAATGTTTGATTTCGCAATAATTTCTTTTTGTCAATCAGGATTATATAAATGTCTTAGACCAAATATCAACCAATTTATTAAGGATGGCTTAATCGTTATTGGCTTAGTGAAACTGATTATGAAACAATTTCTCCCAAGCCAAAAGGACTTTTGATCTATTTTACATTCAATACCAAATTAAATAGTATGATTGTCGATCAACATACATCTCATTTATGGGACCCAACCCACGGAAACTACCAAATTTATTATTAATTAATCTATAAACGAAATTGAACTAATATTATGTTATAAAAAAGTCTCTGGATTCGTTCTAGAAATTTTTAATGAAAAAAAAAAAAAAAAACAATTAAATAATTTCTATCATTATTCTTGTTCAGTAATCTTTTTTCACCCGAACCTGTGAAAATTAAGATTGAGGCTTGGTGAAATCAAAGCCATTCCGTTATATATATATATTTTTTTATTTTAAACTTTTTAAACTTGAACTCGGGTTTCGTGTCACGCGACTTTGATTTGCCCGACAACATACAAATTAAATTGATGGCATCTTTCGTAATTAAAGTTAACTCATTTTCAATGCAAATAACTTGTGAATATTTTTAAATTATAGAAGCGAAAATTTTGATCGCGTTTTATTAATATTAATTTTTTTCACGTCTTACATTAAAGTCTAAATTCGTAAAACGCGCGTATATTAAAAAGTATTGAAAGAAATATTAAACCAAAAAAAAAAATTTCGCATTTTCCAACAAATTTATCCCTCGGAAAACGTCTCAAATTATTATTTAACGCGAAAGTTTATTTATTCAAATTAGACATTAACGCGTTACTATATAAAACTAACTAGAACATTACTTCCACAACCAAAAAATTACCTAAAAAACTAAATAAAAAATCTAGTGAAAGTTGAAATAAATATAATAATTTTTTTAAAAATTAAATGTTCGAAATTTTTTTTTATTTCGGTCACGACACTATTATTTATTAAGCACAGTAAATATATATGTATAACTATATAATGTATGAGTATTACAAAAAAAAACCTTTCGTGTATATTGAAGGGAATATGAGAGGGTTTTTATGAAATTATTAAGTCTAAACGGTATTAAATTAAGCAAATAAGGCACCAAGAACAGCGATGGCTGCGAATGTAACTCCAACTTCGGATTTAAGATTGTTGGCAGCGCCAGCGGCGGCTTTGGCAGAAGGTGCTGGGGATTTGGTGGTATCTGGGGTCTTGGCTGGTGTTGGTGCTTTACCTCCTTCTGGGCCTTTTGCTGGTGGGGCTTTTCCGTCAGCTGGGGCTTTTCCGCCGTCAGCTGGTGCTGGGGCTGGGGCTTTACCGTCAGCTGGGGCTTTTCCGTCAGCTGGGGCTGGGGCTGGGGCTTTTCCGTCAGCTGGTGCTTTACCGTCAGCTGGTGCTTTTCCGTCAGCTGGTGCTTTACCGTCAGCTGGTGCTTTACCGTCAGCTGGTGCTTTACCGTCAGCTGGTGCTTTGCCATCTTCTGGTGCTTTGCCATCTGCTGGTGCTTTGCCGTCTGCTGGTGCTTTGCCGTCAGCTGGTGCTTTGCCGTCTTCTGGTGCTTTGCCGTCTTCTGGTGCTTTGCCACCCTCTGGTGCTTTGCCACCCTCTGGTGCTTTTCCGTCTTCTGGTGCTTTTCCATCGTCTTCTGGTGGTCCTCTAATAATTATAAAAATATGTTAATTATTAATTCCAAAATAATATTAAAATAAAATTTTTTTATATTTTTTTCTAACGGGATAACTTACTGTGCAGCAACGAATGAAACCAACACGAAGAGAACGATAAGAAGAAGGATGATGCGGTTATTGAATTTCATTTTGTATGATTTATGAACTGGTGAAAAGGTAAGGGAGTTTTTGTAATTTTATTTGCAATTGCAAGGTTTTCTAAAATTATTTTTTTTTTTTGAAAAGAAAGATTTTTTCTTTGATTTTAACCTTTGCAGTTGTGTCGTGGTGATTTGAGTGGAAGGGAAAGTGGCCCTGTATTTATTAGATTTTTTGATGGTATTAGTTAGAATATTTTGATTTACTTTATTAATATTGATATATAAATAAATAACAATATCCACTCTATGGAAACAAGACACTACTCCGTGATACATTTGAAACGTTATACTTGCATAAATAATACAGGGTTGGCGTTAAAAAAATTTTGTGTTCCTTGGCAAAAAACCTGTATTCAAAACAAAAGCCATTCGATATTTGATTTATAAATATATATATCTCTTTACTTTAAAAGAATTCTTAGCTTTATAATTTTATTTTTGGTAATTGTGTATAAAAAAAAAAAAAAATGATCATTATAAAATTGATATTTATTGATTGTCTAAGATCAACAAAAAAAAAAAAAATTTAGTAGAAGGGTGAATAGCCCCTGATTTGAGTGATGTACACCTGAAAATGATATAAAAAAAAAATTGCCGTTTATATTTATTATTAACTCTTTACATTATACTACAAATACTAAAGTGGTTAACATGTATCAAGTTTTAGTCTAGTTTGACAAAATTCTGAACTACAAATATTAATTTATTAAAAATAAGTTCTATAATCTTAGGTACCCGCATCAGAGAACTCGCTTTTTTAATCACGTGAGCGGATGAATTTTTCCACTTCACGTTTAATGAAGGTTCTTTCAAAAGAAAAAAAAAAATCCAATGAGAGAACTTTTACTCAATTTAGAAAAAATTATTCTGCATAATCTTTCCACTAATTTGATTGATAAGAAAGTAGTGATAGGATTAAAAAAATTTAATGTCAAGCGCGTGTGTTTTACACCTTAAATTTGTTTGGTCAGACAAAACGAAAAAAATAAAAAAGTTGTCCAAATTTCCAATGAGGAGCATATGGAGAGCCGGGTACTTACGAGAATCAAAAGTATTTCTTGGACCGATGGTTTTGGTCGCACATGTTTAATCCACGAGCTATGATGTGCACGGTGTAATATTTCGAATGAATTCCATTGAAATATTGATTATACTTTCGCCCTTCTCCAATGGCGCCTGCATTAGGATAATTGGCATATTTGTTTCTGATTATATGAATACCCATATATGGAAAATCTTGGAATTCCCCCCTGCAGTGTCGTTTATAACCAAATATCACATAGGACAAACCCTTATTTGTTTATGAACACTTACTTTATTTGATCTCTCGGCAATTTCGGTCCATGCGGTTCAACCCCAGGAAAAGTCTTGTAGCCGAATTTTTAATTCAAACTAAATTTGGTAATCGACACTTGTAACAAACAAAAATAATTTCCAATATTACGCGATAACTCTCGTGATACTATGCCCGACAAATTAAAATGTTTTGAGCCGAGGAAAAAAAAAATCATCATTTATTAAAAGGTCAAGCGCAACCAATTAAAGAGGACTTTGCGTTCCCTTGGTACAAAAATTTAAAAAAAAAAAAACTTATGCACACGATAAGGACTAATCATAATTCATTTTTTGTTCCTTAATGCGCATTCGTTATAAAGCAAGAATTGAAATTTCTTCTTCATGATTGAATTTCATTTTAATTGGTAAAGTAATATTTTTTATTTTTATTTTTATTTTTTTTCTAATATAAATGGAGATGATATTACCACTCTCAAAAACTTCATTTGTATAAAAATGCATGTAATTTACCACAGCATCCAAATAATAAATGCATAACAAAATATCAATAGGGACACACCATCATTTCATAGATCACAATCTAATTTGTTTGAACAAATCTGGAAATAAAGTTATATATTAATTAACAAGGGAGACATTTTTGGAATTATTTCATGCATCTGTTTATAAAAAAAAAAAATAAATGAAAAGTAACCAAACATAATCTAAACAATAAAACAATTCAAATACAAGATTTCTTTTGAGGAAAAGAAGAATGGGATGGTTCTTTTTTTATTATTTGGAGCATCATTATGCATATAAGGGACATAATAAATTAATTAAAAATTTACCCCCTTCACGGATCAACCAAGAATACCTTTTTGAGAAAAGAATACATTTTATACGCTTCCCGCCGATTTCTTTTGGTAGTTACTTTCAATTTCAAATTCATGACAAAAGGAAAAGAGCAAACGCTCATGAAATTCCAAGTTCGGTAAAATGGCAATTCGCAAGAAAAAATACATCATCAAGTCATTAGTACAGATTGTTTAAAAATGAAGTTTACCTTAATCATTTAGGGTAATGAAATGATGTCGGCTTCTTCCGCTTCATTCCATCCCACTAAAATATATAATGGTAAAACCTCATGAGGGAATAAAATTGCACAAAAACAGAAGACAATAAAAAATCATATTTATGTCACACAGGGGTGTTGATCTCGGATGTAATCAACATAGAATTTTCGATACGCAAAGAACTTAAAAAAAAAATTTTTTTTCACGATTATTTTTTTATTTAATGAAAATAAACCGATTAATATCGTTGTACTACTATTATTGTCAAAATGTTATATTACTTGCATTTAGATGATAATATATATAGACAATAGCACAACATAACAACTAATTAATTACAACGTTACATTAACATCCAATTATTTTTTTTTTCATCGTTATAGTCCCCAAATAAGTAATTATATGTCGTTAAACATCACCCCTTGTAGTTTGCTTCGTGTTTGCATTTCTTATCCCATCCATCTTTTTTTTTTTTTGATTATTTTTTATTTTTTTTTTAAAACAAAAAGTAAATTCGAATTCCAAAATTTGAATTACATAATAAGTAGTAATGCTATTCAATAAATTTTAAAAATAGTAAATTGAATTAAATTGATTATGGTCTCTATATACGTCGGAGTTATTTTTGAATTTCTTTTCCAACATTTATTTTTATATCCGAAAACGATTAACCATTTCAAGAATATGACATAAGGGCCCGGAATAAATTATGTTGATCACAATACAATCAAAATATTGTCGTTTGTTACTATTTATTTATTATTATGCAATGGGGAAATAAGATACCAAGAGTACAAAGTATGCCAATTTGCAATACATTTTTGTCCTTGATTATGTTAGATGTCAATCCTGAAAGGTCTAACTTATTTTGTCTAGTGCAAAAAAGCACCACTACCATGTGTTTCAAAAGTACACAAACTTTTCGAAAACGAAGATAATCTTTAAAAATCTTTTTGAAACAAAAAAAAATAAAACTTCCATTAAGGATCTTGTAACCGTCACAAAAATCCAATTTATCACGTGATTTACGCGTTATTCTCTAAAATCCTTAGCGTCGTAATTTTTTTTAATCTGCAAGGAATCCATACATGCAAGTCAAAAAAAAATAACAATTTTAGAAAATCGACAGCAGATTTTATTTGTTTATTATTTTCAAAGTAATTGCATTTTTCCTTTTCGGAAAAACATTAAATTAAAATTATTTTCCTTTTAATATTAGTATTTCATAGAGTCGATCATTTTTTTTTTGTTTGTTCATTTGATTGTAAAAAAAATAACTTGTTTCGGTACCTGCATGGAATTAAATCGTTTGTATCTTTGAATATCAAAAAAAGAAAATCGCTAACGCTTTTTTGCTTTCTAGAATTCTAGAAATGTATGCATAACGATAATACAAAAAAAAAAAAAAAACATTTTCACATGATTTCGTGATTTCTGAGGGAATACACATAGTCTAAATATTGAAATAAACGAAACTGGATAAATGATTTTATACATGGGACGCGTCTGATGTCAGGAACGTGAATATCGCTGTGCTAGACAATATCCAAATATTAAGGTGGAACGAAAAAACCTTTTTTATCCAGATAAATTTATTTAAAATACTCTAAATAGGTTCCTATTTCAAGTAATCGAAAGTGTTTATTATTAAATAATATCGAAATGATTTCAAATGTCGGAAATCATTTTTGAATTTCGATATCTTTTGAAAGGTTTCTTTTGGAAGGGTTCTTTTTTTTTTTTTTTAGAAACGTTATTTCTCTCTTCATAGGTCTTGCGGAGGATTCTTTGGGGGGTCTTTTTCGATATTTGAAATGATTTTCAATTAAACAATTTGGATTCGAATATTTAATTTTATATGATCATTCATATGTCTTATTTTCAACCATCTTAAAGAGTGTTAGTATTATGATTTCAGAGCGTATATTTAAATTTTCATATTTTTCTCAATGATATTTTAGACTGCTATAATAGTTTAATAGATAATACTTTTATTAACTTTGATTGTAACATAATTTGTATTAATGTCTAGAAATTCATAAAATAGTTTATCTTTAAATATTTTATATGTATTTAACCTTTAATTGCAAACAAACTTCTGTTATAAATACCAAGACAATTATTAGTAATTTTATGAAGATTGATAAATGATCCATGTTTAAACAGAAAATATAATTATTCTACTTTTAACAATTTCTATTTTTATTAAAACTTGCAATTTAAACTATATAACTTTTTAACCTTTTATTTAACTTGAATTTCAAAAAATAATTAAAAATTATAAAATTATAAAGTAATAATGATTAAAAAATACATTAAATTTAATGATTTAATTTTCTTTTTATTTTAAATAAAATAACTTTATAATATTTTAATTAAAAAAAAATTGATTTTAAAATAACTTTAAAATTTTATTTATATTTGAAAAATAAAAATAATATTTGTATTTTAAAAAAAAAATCAGTATTTAAAAGATTACTAATAAATTTTAAGAATAATAAGAAATTTGATATATTAAAATAAGTATCTTAGTTTGTATATAATTTATTAAATTATATTAAATTATATTAAATCAGTAATATTTAAATCTGGTATTTTATATATTTAGTAATCTTTATTTAATATATATATATTTTTAAGTTAATAAGATAAATACAAAAAGAAAAAAATATATAAACTTATTAAATTTAATTAATCAAATAAAAATATAGTCATTAATAACTATCATATAATTATAAAAGTTATAAAAAGTAAAAAAAAAATACATAAAAGTATTTTCTTAACAACTTATAATAGTTTAATTTATATATATAAGTAATAAAATAATAATTATAATACAAATATTATAAATTATATAAATAATAATATATTTTGATTTTATTAATTTATAATTAAAAAATAAAAATAAATAAATTAACTTTTTTATTTTAAATTTAATTAAAAATATAAAATAAAATAATATATATATTTTTTAATAATAAATTTAAAGAAAAAGTTATAAATTAAAATTTAGATATATTATAATTTTTTTATATAATTTAAAATATCTAAATTATCAATAAAATTAATTTAATCTATAAAATATTTAATTAACTTATTTAGATTAAAGTTTTTTATTACTTTAAAATCATTAAAGATAAAAAAAATAAAAATAATATAAATTAAAATATAAAAATTAATATTTTTATTTAGAAATATTGATTCAATAAAAAATAAAATAAATAACTTTATATATAATAATATTTATTATATTAATTAATTATTTAACCATTTATAAAAACTTTTAAATTGTAAAATTTATATTATTAATAAAATTTCTTTTAATATTAAAATCATTATCAGTTTAATTTTAATAATATTATTTATATTATTATATTAAATATATTTATAGTTTTCTAAAAAACTATAATTATTTTCAATTTTATTTATAAGGTAATAATAATACAAATAATTATTTATTATTTAAATAAAAGATATTATAATAATAAGTAAATTACAAATTAAATAATTATTTAAATTATAATATTAATTTTATTTAAGTATAAAATATATTTTAAATTTAATAATACTTTAAATGTTAATTTAAATTTAAATGTAAAAAATTTATAAATATTTTAAATTTTGAATAAATATTAAAGGTTTTGATAAATAATCTTAATAAAATAAAAGCAATATATATTTAAGATATTTTAGTTATTTATTTAATATTTAATATTATAGTTTAATAAAGATTTTAATAAAAAAATTATTACTGTAAATCTAATTAATTATTTTTATTTTTTGATTTAGTTTATTATAATTATAAATTTAAAAAGACTTTTATAATAAAATATTTAATAGCTTAATAAAAAATAATTTAATTTCAATAAAAGTAATTTTTATATTAATATTAATAAAAAATAATTTAATCTAAAATATATTTTTTCTAAAATAAAATCTAAAACTATATTATTTAGTATATTAATAAAATATTTAATTTAGTAATTTAACTTAGTAAATATTATAAATATATTTTAAATTAATTATAATTTACTTATTAATCTTTTTTTAATTGAAATACTTTATAAAAATTTAATGATTTATTATTTAAGAATATATTAAAAAAAAATACTTTTAAAATTAATTTTTTAAAAATATATATATAGTTAACTCTTTATAAATACATCTTTTATAAATGTATCTTTTTATCTGATTTCAATTTAGATCTTAATGTAAATTATATATTTTTTATATATATGTTCTTTATAAATACATTCTTTATAAAAAATATTTTATATGGTTTACTTATAAATCTTTTATATTACCTTAATTTTAGATTAATATTATATAGATTTATATATATTTTATAAATATACATTCTTTTTAATATATCTTTATATCTAGTTTAAAGAGAAATACATTTATAGAGAGTTGAATATATATTTTTAATATAAAAATTATTTTAAAATTATTTTATTTTTTAAAAAAAAATACTTTAAAAAAATTTCTTTAAAAAAAATATATATATATAAAATTTGTTTTAATATTTTAGATATTTTTTAATATTAATCTAATAACTGTAATACATTATATAAAATATATTTTAATAAATTAAATAAAGTGAATATTAATATTATTAAAAATTTTAAAGATCAATAATATTTATTTAACATCATTAGTTTAATATAAATATAATATTACATTTTTTTTTAAGATTATCTTTAGATAAAAATAGTTAATATAAAACTAATTTATATTAGATATACTATAAAATTTAAAAATTATAATACTATTAAAAGTATTTAAAAAAAGAACAATATGAAAAAATTAGTTTCTTATATTTTTAAATTAGTAAATAGTAATCTTTGTAAATATATTTAAACAAAAAAAAATTATTTATAAAATTTATTAAGAGGAAAAGAGTATTAAAGAATTTTAATAAAAAATTAAAAAAAAAAGAAAACTAACAAAATAATTAAAACAAATATTACTTTTTTTCTTAATTTTATTAATTTTTAATTATCTTTTATATTTAATTAAAATTATTTTTTAGTTTTTTTAACTTAATTTAAGCAATTAATTAAGTTTGCTATTTTTTTTAACTATTTAACTTCAGTTACAAGTCTTTGAATTTTATTTAATAATTCTTATTTCTACTTATTATACTAATCCTTTAAAAATTTTAAAGCTTTTAAATAAGAACTAATTTCTTCTTTAATACTAAATAATTACTGTTTTAAATCTTTATTTTACTCTTTTAAATTTACTAACATAATACTATATCATTATTTCTATTATGATTTAATTGATTCATTTTTTTTAAAATTACAAATCAGTCTATTCTATTTTTATAATTATACTACAATCATTATAATATAATAAAGTATTATCATTAAGAGTTTTTTTATACTTAATAAACATAAATAATATTATTATAATCATTATTACTTATATTATAAGATACTATTTTGTAAGTAGCAGTTAAACTTCTTTCTTTTAAAAAAACAAAAATTACAATGCTATTTATCTTCTCTTTTCAGTTTATTAACTTAATATTTTAATTTTATACTATTTATTCTTTTGCAAAATATAGATTTCAAATTTTTCTTAAGTTATCACTTTTACTTAACTAATTTTATTCTTTACTTTATTAGTAGAAATTTAAATTTATCTTCTTTCTTTTGTAAAATTAGTAATTTTTAAAGCTAATTGTCTGCTAAATATTTCTATTATAATACAATATTTTTTAGAACTTCTATTTTTCTTAAAGCTTTTTTAAGTTATTATTTTTTTTTTTACTTTATTTTATTTTTTACTATTTAGCTACTTAAAAATTTCTAAATAATATATAAATGATTACTTTTTTTAGTAATAAAAATTAGATTAATACAGTTAGCATATTATATATTATTTTAAATT